ATCATTAAAAATGTTCAACGGAATGGTTACTCCAAAGTGATGATGGAGCAGGCTCTAGCTGAAAGACAGCAAGAGCTACACAAGGAAGATAAGCCGCCACAACTAGTACTTGCACTTCCCTACATCAGTAGGAACACTATCTGTAGCAGTTGCCACCACCAAACGCGGACCGCGATTCCAAGAGTTGCATTTACCGAATACCCTGTGAGTGCGGAGAATCAATTATCGGTGAAACTAAGGGGCCATTGAAAGTTCGCATTGCCGAGCACAGAAAAAACACACAGCGAGGAGAAACCAGCAAATCTGGAATAGCAGAGCATGTTTGGACTCATCAACATAACATCAAGTGGGCTCAAGCTGAAATCATTCGCAAGGAGGAACACTGGTTTAGGAGAAAATTCAAAGAAGTCGTAATATATGTTGTTCAACAACGCATTTAGCCAAGCAAGCATAGAGATACAGAACATATGAAAACCTCTAATCAAGCGGAACATGACCAACTTCCGCCAAAAGGTCAGCTCCCGCTAAAACCGATGAAGCGGAGAGAGGGAATAGGTCGAATAACCTATAAATAGTCAGGTCTCGGAGAAATAAGTCCAGTTATCACCCGAAGATGATTGTGAATACTAACAATCGAAACGTCGTGAAGTAAATTGGTTTGGAATTTTTTCAACTTTATATTTTTTCAATTTTCATTTTTGTTATTAATTTTTGAATTTTTTTCTGCTTGAGTCGAAACTTCCATTTTATTTAGTTTTTTTGGTTGTTGCTTGTATGTTATTTCATTGTAATTTCAGTTTTTTGCCTAATAAAGTTGTTTGTTCAGGTAATCTTTTGAATTTCTTTTCAAACAAACGTAAAAGAAAAGGTTTACCCAGTTTCCAGGCTTTCTTCTACAATCTCTGATCTTTCTGCTCTTTCAATGTTGTTTCCCAAAAGTGAAGTTCAGCTTTTGTAATATCTTCCATAATCAGGTTGTTTTCCTTGAGTTCCTTAAGAAATCTAAAAATTGTCGATCTATTGACACCGGTCATAATCGCACATTTTTGCACTACTTCTCTTACTTTTCATTTCGAGAAAATTAAAAACAATAAAAATATGTTTGGAATATGTTTTTTCCGTTAACCAGCAGTCGCACCCCTACGAACGACAACCCTCAGAATTCCAAACTTGTGGGAGCTAACGACTAACGACGTCTTACGTTTTAACGTGTGATTCCAATATTCAACTATTCTATATCTATACATTGTGATGTAACGCATGTAACGCATGAATTGGCCGATACCTAATGAAAATCTATGAAAAACATGATTGATACATTTCATTGTGAATTTTTTTCTAAATGGTTGATATTAGTCCAGTATTGAACAACGCCTAACGAAACTGTTGTATAGTGAAATACCGTGTTGCAATTTTGTAAACTGGTTAATGGAATTCCCACCATGAATGTCTCGAATACGTTTGTGATGATACTATAAAATTGGCGAAACAGTAGATAAGTTATCGTGAACAAGTAACACATCTATTTTGTTAATGAATTTAATTGCAGTTGCACCGTTCCTTTTATTTTCCTCTATTCAAATTCGGCAATAAATTCTGTACTGGGTAATTAGACAATATATTCAATTCAGAGTGAAGAGGAAGTCAGAGATTAACTCCAGAAAGCTGCCACGACTGTAGGAACCGAACTCGTGTTGGCTTTTTGTTCGGGTCTACACTAAACTAAATTACTTGAAATCCCGACATGTTTAGTTAATCACCAGAAACAAACTTTGTATCAGACATACCAGTAATTCATCGATGCTATCAGACTTTATTGAAACAATAGAGGTCGTCGCTTAGCCGGAGTTGCAGATTCGAATCTGTAATTAATTACTCTGAATTTGGCGAGAAACTCGTAGTCATACTTTTTACCTGTGACTGTCAAACGATCGTTTATATTTGGTGATGTCCAATAACCGTAACTCAAGTAGATGGATGTGAAGGGCTTTTGTAGAGGGATAGTATGATCAATTCCAAGTTGAACTTCATAACTAACATTACAGTTCTGGAAATAACGCAAAGATAGAAAATGTTTAACCAAAATCCAAATAGTTCAGCTGTAATTTCCCTAATAGTGAGTTTTTGGTACCATGCGCGAAAAATTATTGCTTTATTCATCATCCAAGAGTTCAAAGTGCAAATTCAAAAACATTTTTTATATTTTATTCAGTGAAATGTAATTTTTGGAACTATTGAAAACCTTTTTCCATACTATAACAAAAATAATGCATTTTGCAATGCAATGCATAATGCAATAACTTGCATTTTGCTAACCAAATTTCATTATCGGAAGATGAAAGTAAATTATATGAATGCAAAAAGACATACATTTTCAATACCCAATAAACAATAAATTGTGATATGGGTACTCAATTTTCCTGAGAAAATGAACGATCAATTAAAATTTGTTGTTATTTTTCTTTCATATTTTTTAAGAATGAAGCCAGCAGACAAATAAACTATAATAAGATCGCTCGAATCTACGAATTAAGCATAAAAATGGACAATAATATTTGTTTTGATAACTGATATAGTACAAGTTATATCTAAATATGATTCGAAATAGAATTGAACGAGCTGTATTTTCAAATGATTTTCGAATGCTCTTGAACCCTAATATAATAAATCAATTATGCATTCATGCCACCCACCGAAAAATAAGAAATTCAACGTTACTGGTATATTAGCCATATTGTCATTTGTATGCGACAATGTGCTCTTTCTGATGTCAATGGTTTTCACAAACTTCGTATTTTTGTTAAAATAATTTCAAAATAAATGTTGAGCCCAGTTTTGTTAAAGCTAACTCCCGACAACTTACCAAGGGTCGATTTTGAAATGATCGATGAATTTTACTTGAAAAATTTGCAATACTTTGGTGCTGAAATGGAGAATGAAAAATTGAAACGGTGGGTGGTATATATAGTAATTCCCTTTTATTTATATTACATTCATTTCAGACTTCGTCTTTCATCGAAAGATGGAAAGTTTTGATTCACTTTTTATTTTATCTCGGCCAAAGAGCAGTATGGTGACTGAAAAAAAAAGCAAAAATATATACAGTGAAATGTTGAACTACTCCAGAACATAGGTATCAATCCAAAAATAACCTGAAAAAAATTTTTCGTAACGTAAACTAATGACAATGCAGCAAAATAAGCAGCGGCCGAGACCTACTTTTTACAAAAAAAAACTTTCTCAATTAGATAATTGTAATAGTTGTTTTCACCCTTAGATAATTGTAATAGTTGTTTTCACACCGTGTTGACAACAATAACAACAAAAATTCTGTCTGTCAAATTGGATCATCAGATCTGTGATTGGATATTAAAAACCAATACACTTGGCAACTCCGCTCTACAAACGATCAATTTTATTGGTCAACCGACACGCGGCCAATTTAAATTCTTGCTTCTCGAATTATTTTTTTTCTGCAAATATAAAGAGATTTTGGGACCGATTAGGCTTGATAAAGATAATAAACCCCTAACTCGATCAGTCTATAAGCAAACCGATATCATTTTCCATAGCATGGAACAACCCCATTTTCTATCATAATGAGGGTCCCCATTTGGAGGTTGTCGAATTATTTTATAGTATTATTCACTGTTGTTATTGAATTTTTCTACCTGATTGAAAATTAATGTCAACCCGATTATGGTAATCAATATTCACCTGTTTTCCACAAGTAACTACTACGTAAAATAGTGAAAAATCGACCGTGTGGTATAAGACTATCCTGTTTGACCTTTTTGAAGGTGGTTGACAATGTTTCGTGGTTTATTTCATCAGTTCAGACTTCCATTGTCTAATATAATATAAATTGATTTGAAATCACTGGAAGAAATTAAAAGGATTAACCAAAAAATAACAATGTTATTGAACAAAAAACTGAAATTACAAAGTTATTTCTCGTCGTTGTTCATAGAACTCATTTCGTGACTTTTGATATCGTGTTCCATTCGCAACAATTTCGAACATTGCTCACGTATTATGAAGCTATTTTCCGAGTTTTTAGGCTGTGATCTGCAGGTATTTATGTCTCACATTTCATCTACTATTGCGGTATACGTTATCAATGGCGATGGTTTATATGGAAGAACTATAAATTTCATTTTCATTTCATTTTTCATTTCGAAGTTAGAGTTTCGGTTTTTCTGAAAAATCGAGGATATATGAAATTAGTAATGAAATTAATTTCGAAAAGTGAAATTTTGAAAGTATCTTCGTATATACTTGACTTTTCACAAAGAAGAAGGCTGAAAATGTATAATTCTTCCAAATGAATCAAATTACACGAACGATTTGATACGAACTTTCCAAAAGTATATTTGAAACAAATTCGTGAAATGTGCTAGGTTCACCATTAATAACTCAAGAATGGATATAACGATTTTTAAATTTTTTTTATTTGTTGGATTCATCAAGCTTAAATTAAACTGCGGGATATAAAAAGTCAATCCACTGCTAATGAAAAAAAAAATCAAAAGGTGAAGCTTTAGTGTCCAGTGTTGTCTGATCTACTGTTTCTGCAGTGTATCTTCTGTTTTAGCTTTCGAGCTACTGTATTACTGTTCGACAGTGAAAATCTACTGATTACTCGGTTAATTTTCTATAATAAACAACTTAACACAACATTCATCAATTCAAATTTGCCAGGTCAGCGAGTTGAATAATAATAAAAGCATATATTTTCCAGTATTTTCAGTAATTTTAGAAGCTGGCTTTGAACTTTCGAATGTATCACATATTGTTTTAGATCTGACTTTTTCAAAAACTAGAATGAAAAACAAAAATCCCCAGGTGGGGAGGAACACAGTAATACAGGAACAAAGAAATAGTTGACATACATCCTGATGTTGAGACATCAAACTATAATAAAAACAAAACAAGTTATACTGGTAATGACTGATTAAAATAATATATCGAGAAAATTAATAAGAAAGGCAGTAAATAAATCAATTGGTACCAGTGGATCCAAATTCGCCTTCGCCACGTTCAGTATCTGCCAATTCCTGAATTTCCTCTGAAACTGCGTAGTAGATCTTTTCGCAAATGAGTTGGGCTATGCGATCTCCTGATCTGAGCTCAAAGTCAGTATCAGAATGGTTGAACAACACAACGTTTAGGACTCCCCGGTGATCCTCGTCGACTACTCCAGCTCCTATGCCGATACAGTTTTTCACAGCCAAACTCGATCTAGGTGCAATCCTTCCGTAACATTCTTCTGGGAGCTCAATCTTCAAACCGGTGTCCATAAAGGTTTTGCTCCTCGCCGGAACGGTTATGTCGAAGGCATTCCTCAAGTGGTAGCCTGCAGCTTTCAGGAAACTCTGACTCCAGATGTAGGCCTCCGGCACCACTTGGAGTATCTCCGTTTCAAAGCTACGCCATTTTTTTGAAGCATTTTGTTATTCTTCTGTTCTTTAGCCGAAAAAACACGTGTAATCTGAACCGGCTGAAAATGGCTTTCAAAACTGTTCGTATACTTGAATAAATCGTGGCCAGTTTCAAGATGACAAAAAAGGAAGAGCCTGGAATTTACGAAATAAGCTATGAGAATCACGATATGAAGTATATCGTTCAAACTAGGGGGACTATAATAACCCGATTCAGAGAAAATGTTTCACGTATTCAGTTTCATGAACGAGGGGAGTCTAGTGTCTGATGCTCAATATGCCTCAGAGATAGGCCACAGAATAAGTGAGAAATGCTGTAATTTTTCAGAAAATGTGAGATATAGAACAAAATGAACGGCCACATAATTGAGGCTTTTTTCGTAAGTCATGAAAAATTATTTTCGTGATGCAGCTGAACGAATTAATAATAATAATAATAGTAATAGCAATAATAATATGTCATTTATTTGAAATCCAAATACAAATAAGAAGGACTGCATTAACCTTTCTAGATTCTATATCATTTCTAGAAACATGTGGATTCGTTTTACGATGGCATTTCAGGTTAGCTTCCCAAATTTCTGCTACCGCATTTGTCGGTTGATTGGTCAAACCACCAACACTGATATGAAAACTTGGCAAATTGACGTGGGTGTCACACCAATAGGTGGTTTTATCAAGTACTTTCTTGGTTTTTCTCATTTTGGCTGAAACAGCTGTCTACCGGTGGATCTTGAATTGAAATCAATATGGGAATGATCAAAAAGTACTTATCTATTTATTTTTCATGGAATTATTTTCCAGCAGTTTGACTGCATTAACCTTTCTAGATTTCATATCATTTCTAGAAACATGTGGATTCGTTTTACGATGACATTTCAGGTTAGCTTCCCAAATTCCTGCTACCGCAGTTGTCGGTTGATTGGACAAACTACCAACACTGACATAAAAACTTGGCAAGTTGACTTGGGTGTCACACCAATAGGTGGTTCCACTTATGTTTCGCTTGCGTTTACGCAGCTATATTTTATCAAGTACTTTCTTGGTTTCTCTCATTTTGTCTTCAATCGAGGATCGCCTGCCCGGAACTGAAGATGCCCAATAGGCTGAAACAGCTGTCTACCGGTGGATCCTAAATTGAAATCAATATGGAAATGATCAAAAAGTACTTATTTATTCATTTTTGATTTTCATGGAATTATTTTCCAGCAACTCGACTGCATTAACCTTTCTAGATTTCGTATCATTTCTAGAAACATGTGGATTCGTTTTTCGATGGCATTTCAGGTTAGCTTCCCAAATTTCTGCTACCGCAGTTGTCCGTTGATTGGTCAAACCACCAACACTGACATAAAAACTTGGCAAGTTGACTTGGTTGGTTGTTCACACCAATAGGTGGTTCCACTTATGTTTCGCTTGCGTTTACGCAAGAATTTGTCAATCATGATATGAATATGGAGTAATCAAATGACTATTTTGGAATTGAAAATTATGATTTCCTTGTAAATATATGAAATACTTTTTTTTCAATAGCAGCCAGAATATTACGGTAAGCAGAAAAAATATTTATATACGTTAATTATTCGCAACACAGCAACGATTCCCCAAAATTCAGTCCGAACACCATCACAAGTATCAATTTCCTCGTCTGGCAGCGTTTGTTTGCTACAAACCGTTCCGGGGGATAATTTGAATTGCAAACAATGAAGGGCTATTAAATGTCCCCGCAAAACTGATTGGAATCGTATATAAAAGCTTTTGTATGTATATTGCGGAAATAAATAAAAATGGCCCGAACCAGCAGCAACGGGCTCAAATAAATTATGTTAGTATGAAATTAAAGCCGTTCGAAATTACTTCGTTTTGTCATTTATTAACGACGATATATCAATGTGGATATTCAGGAATTTAAAAGAATCGGGATTTTAAGGAATTAAACAAGGAAACGGATGTCGGAATCGTTACCTGTCACAAGAAAAGTTTTATTTTTAACGGCGTTGAATTTATACCCGAATGTCGGTTGTCTCTTGAAGATATACTATACTTCTCAAGTAATAGTTCATATTATGAAAGAAAAAAGTGTGGAAGCATTGCAGGTCATTTAATTTTCTCTTTTGGTAAATCCCACTACAGAAAATCATTGGTTTTGACACTGTTGGACGAACACAAAATGATGTGGAGCACTGTCCTGCTGGAAACGTGAGAAATAAGATACAGGAGATACATAAGGTTCACCTTATTGTTATTTAAAACAAATGGAAGTATGTCCGATGTGGTCTGCAGCTTTCCATACCTGACATTTCGTTTGCTACTGTGGTAGACATTGCCAATAGCGAAGCGGAAACGGTCTAAGTGATCTACCTTGCTGCGTCACCTGAAGAAATCATATAACGAGGCCGAAATCATCTGCGTCTCACGAACAGAAACACTCCATGGTGGAGCAAATGGTTGATGGAATAATGTTATTGACCTACATTAACGGACGACTCAACTGAATACTCAAAAACAAGGAGTTAGTTCAAGCCCTTAAGAATGATAAAGAATAGTGTCAGGTCAGCAAATGACCCCAGGGATCCTTTGAGTACCTCAGGAGTATACCGAATGCTGTGTAGTTATGGTTCGTTTCGCTTCGAAACAACGAAAAGGATACGGATACTTTTCGAGGCTATTTAGAGAGTCCATAGAAATACAATAACATGACAATAATCTCAACGATAAGGGAGATAACCTTAACAACAACAATACATAGAGACCGGCACTTCTCAACACAAAAATTCTCCCAATTATTGTAGAAGGGTCCGACCAAGCAGGTACAAGAGCAGTCAGCCTTCCGACATCTAGTCCTATTTTGGGATCGAAGAGCAGATACCAACGGACACACGCACCAATGGATAAAATGAATGTGCAGAGAGCCGGCAGAATCCAGTGGCAAGAGCTACGTGCAATTCAAGTACGACAATCGACAACCCGTCTGGAAGAACTCAACACCGAAGACCAATCTGCATGGAAAATGCAGAAATTTCTTAGGAAGGGACATCGACAACCGTGTTAGGCTATAAACGGCGAGCAAAAAAACGTCTACACGGCCCAAGAGAAAGCGGAAGCATTTGCTGAGAATTTTGGTAGGAAGTGTAGAGAAACTGATGTATCGTTCACGGAAGAAGTTGAAGAAATCGAAAACCAGGTCGAAGAGACGGTACGAAGGATAAGGCGGCAACGAAAGGACAACACGCAACTCCTGGCACCGACATCACCCGAGGGAATGAAAGGCATCGTGAGATGCCTAGCCACTCGGAAAGCTCCAGGCTTGGACCAGATACCAAACCGGGCACTGAAAGCCCTACCAAGGAAGGGTGAAGCGGCAATGACGATCATCATCAACGCTATACTCAGACTACAGCATTTCCCGTACCCATTCAAGGAGGCAACGGCCATTCAAATCCCGAAGCCAAATATGAACGACTTATTTCCCGATAACCATAGGCCAATAAGCCTAACCCCTTTCAAAAGCAAAACTAGTCATCTTGAAAAGACTAGAAGACCAAAGCAGTGAACTGGGAATCTTACCAGGTTAACAGTTTGGTTTCAGATCCAAACACTAGACAGAGTTACAAGTCCTAAGGGTAACAGACTATACGACAGAAGGTTTCAACCTGGGCAAAAGATACCATACCGGAGCTAATTTCTTAGACGTCTCCAAGGCGTAATGAGCGATTTCGACTACACGAAACAAATGGTAAGACTAATCGAGTCTTTTCTAGCCGACAGGAGACGTCACTGCAGAATAGGACAAGAACTCTCAACCATGCGATTACTGGAAGCAGAAGTCCCACGAGATGCAGTCTTTTCATCACACCTCTTCTCGGTACACACAGCTGACGTGCCCAAGCCTAAGAATAACTTTAACAAGTTGGCACTCTAAGCGGACAACACAGCTCTACTTGCGAGATCAACTAGCCATGCGCAAGTTACCAGTTACTTGCAACAGCAGGCGGACAGTTTAGAGGATTGGGCCAACCTTTAGAAGATCAGCGTAAACCCTGACAAGAGTCAGGCAATACTGTTCACCTGGAGGATGGTACACCCGGAAGGAAACGTTACCTTAACGAACAAGAGATTCCGTGGACCAAAAAAGCTAGATACCTGGGAGTCACCCTAGACAAAAGATTAACATTCAGGTCTCACGTACAGCAGAGAATAGTAATGGCGAGATCTGCCCGACAAAACCTATTACCAATAATAGTTCGAAGGAGCAACATGGGACTGAAAGTGAAGCTGCTGATGATAAAGACCGTACTATTACAAATAATCCTATATGCCCGCACTGTCTGGGCCAGTGCGCAGGGACATGCTGAGGACAGATCTAGTCGTTTATGAACGCGTGCGTAAGGGCCGCCGTAAACGCTCCGACTAGGTAAATATTCCGGGATCTAGACCGGAACATACACTACGTAAACGCATATATGAGACAACATGTAGAAGACGCGTTTGTCAGAATTCGAGCGCACAACAGTCCAGCACTACGCGATCTATAAAATGTACTAAACAGTGATGACCCCAGATTCTGACAGAGGGACAATCACAAGAGGCCAACGAAGCAGAACCAAAGACCACCTCCGAGAGTCGCTATCAGGCGCGACATAAAGACACCCGTCTCCGGTTAGTTTTGGGGATCCATTGCAAAAATTCAGTTAGGAAAGTCACGATAAAAGAAAACATTAGATAAGAAAGTGAAAGCACCAAAAGGCTGACTTTCCACTGAAAGAGGTCAGATGTCAATCTTGCTGAAGTGCCCATCACTAAGTTGAGGACCGCCGCGGAAGAGCGGCCGTGAACGCCTACACGCCATGATCATATGGAAGTTTGTCTCTCATGTATGATTTATTTATTGAAGAACCTCTAACTCGTTTTGATTCATTTGAGATATCTGCAACAGAAATGAAATGAATGATTTCATTGACTTAATCAATGGGATGAAAAAATGAAAATGGAGAAGTAGAAAGCCGGTTTTCTGTCTCTTCTACCTTCTACTACAAAAATTACAAGTGAAACACCAAGAAGAGCAGATACAGTGGCTTCTGTGTTCATTCTGTTGTGAATGAGAGGGGAGTAGTAATAAATAATCGGAAAAATGAAAAATTCCAGAAAGTTTTCTTTTTTTCAGTACTATTGTTACAGGAAATCATCATGAACTATTCTAGAAAGATGGCCATGATGAGATGTATTTTTCCGGTATCATATCATCGGTGGATGACGTAGTTAGACTAAGTGTCCTGGTTTTGGTTAAATTCAAAAAATCCAGTTGATTACCAACAAACTGATACGTTAACCTCAATTTGTTGAGATTGATTGATGATCTACGTGCACTCTCAACAAAATTGTCAGTGAATATAATGAAATATACTTTTACTGTGTTGGAAAAGTCGTGCAAGAGTCCATTTTAATCTTCATGAAGAGCCTTCATTCTTTGGTTCCCCTGAGTAATTCAAATAAATTCAATATCCACTCTTTCCATCTCGATGAATAAGTTTTCTCTTCCCAAGTTTGAAATATTTCCAGAACATGAAAGATTTTCAAAGGGGTATAAATATATTTCGTATTCAACAAGTTTTACTCAGCTCGTTTTCATCAAGATGAGATTCGAACAAATCAAACTCTGAAAAATATATCGCTGGAATCTGAATACTTTCCAGTTAGAGGTATATTGTTTCTCAGAAGAAAAGCAATTCTTCATTCTTGGGAAAGTTTTCTCATGGGTTTCGATTCTTCCAAACTATGACGTCGAAAACTTATTCAGGATTTGGTGAAAAACCAATTGAGAAAGGATGCTTCGAGAATTGAACATTGTAACATTGTGGTAGTTAGGAATGAGTAACGGTATATCAATTTTGAATATATTCAGAGAGAAAAGGAGCTGAAACCGCACGAAAATATAAATATTGTTACGGCTTTTCTTCAATTAATAATTTTCTACTACCGGAGTCCTGTAAGGATCTAATCTTGGTCCCTCATCATTTTAATTATCCCTCAACGATATATGCAACTCATTAACTTGCAATAGAATGATATTTTCCAATGATTTGAAACTATATGCGTATACAAAACATTGAGATGACTCACCATTCTTTGAAAGCAAATTGATTTCTTACGAGATTGGTGTCTCAAAAACTATCTTCATTAAAATATATCCAAGTGCAAAACTGCAATATTCAGTCAAAAATTCCGATGTCTTTACCATAATGATATTATTATATCGGGGAATACTTACTTATAATAGTAAGGATTCAGAATGTTCTGATCATCAACTGATTCAAAGAATACAGTTCGGTAGGGTCAAAATTAAAATTTGGATCCACAGCATAGAATGCCATATACATTCAGGCACATCAGCTTTTGATAGACTCGTGAAGAAATTGTCAAGATTCCTTCATTTCAGAATCACCGGGACATGTGATTATTCTGGTCTGTGTATTCGATTTTGTATCATCAGAAAAACGAAGAAATCAGAAATTCGTATCATTTTTTCATCATCTATCGAATGGCAAGATGTACTGTTCTGCACCAATATTAGAAATTGATATCGTTGTTTTCTGGGAAAAATTATACTTCTTCATGCAGATTAGCACAAATCAATCTGATGTTGAAGTTGTCAATCAACTTGATGTGTCTTTATATCAATAATTTTTGTTGCAATATATAGGAAATTGAAATAATTCTCTTGCCTACTCGTAAGTCGGTGTATATATGAACGTTCAGGAACTTATTTTTTCTTCATATAAAATAATAGTGATTTGCGAATGAAAATATATTGGGCATTAAATATATTCATCATTATCATTGTATACGTAATCATTTATCGAACTTCCTTTTTTTCATTACTGGAATATTCGAATTCCAAGGTTGTCTCTCGGGATTAATTTTGAAATATCAAGACTGCGACTGACATAGGCAATTAGTTTCTCTGAAGAATTAATTACTCTGATTACCATTTCATTCAGAATGAACTGAAATGAGTAATGAGTTGACGCGATCTCGTTAGATTGATATTTGTCTGGAACTATATAATAATTCAATAAGAGAGTGAGAAAACGTCATTAAGAACCTTGTTGTTTGAGTTTTATATCTTCGATTTTATACTCAAGTAGCGATTGGACCCGACTTGGTATCGGTAGCAGAACATATATGCATATTTTTTTTTTCATAGTGCCATCAGTTTGTCCAGGACGTGCTTTTGAAGATATGAGAATTGGAATTTCTAGAAGAATCCAGAATATCCACAAATTTCCTGGAACATTCTGAAAGGTTCAGGAATAGTCCTGAACATTCAGGAACATCCTGGAATATCACAGATCATGGTGAAATGACCAAGAAAGTTATCTGGGGTTGTAGCCCCAAGAGAATGTTTTCCATTTTTACTTCAAAGTTGTTCGGAAGTTAACATTCTAGAGCATATTAGGAAATTATAGATTATTAGGAAATGTTCGAAAAGAGTCTGGATTATAATAGGTCATTGTGGAACACTTCAGGATGGAGTTGAATGATGTGGATTGTTGTGGGTCATTGTAGACCATTCGAATCCTTCTCTGAATGTGTAGATCTCTCATTTTGTTAGTGTTTGTATAGAGTCAACCCCGGTCGACCTCTTTCAATTTGAAATTCATCATTTCATTTCAAATAGCATATATTCCCATACTGACTTCCTGAACGATGCTGGGAACCTCATCAAGTAACTAGTAACTGATAGTAATTGAAAAAAGTTCACTACCATACAAGTTGTGGATGAAGCATATTACACATTTCTTCAGTGCAAACGGTTTATTCAAATTTTGTGAACCTAATTTTGTTATTATATATTGCATATTTCAGCAAAAGAACATTATTATTACTCTTTTCAACCTGAGTTTGCGCTGGTCATGCCCTTTCTTTCGAAGTCCCGATACATTCCTGAGGGCATGCCTGCGTTGTTGACCAAAGACCAGATATTACAATGTGAGTTCAGATTATTGGGCCCAAGAATCATCCGTCTTGAGCAAGCGCAGTTAGCTAAGAATGACAGCCTTCTGCATTTCTTCGGCTAATATTTCTGCCTTAGATTTGAGAGTAGGGAAGTCCACCAAGGACTCCAGTCATCTGAACAATAATCTTGATAATTAGTTTGCTTTTCCTTTCCTTTTTGAACGATATTTATTCCGACAGGAGCCCTCGACAAGAATCGACTTGCTCTGGTGGTCGAGAAGGAATACATCAGGCTTATTACCTTGTATGAGCTTGAGGGTGGGAACGGAAAATTCGAATGAATGAATTCCGTAAAAGTGCCGTAGGCGATGAATATGCACTCTCAGGTCCGCGTTATGTCGATTGATATAGGCGGAGACGCATATGCTGTACATGTTGACAGCAAGTGAGTTAGGGTCTCAGAAGCCTCGCGGCAGGCCCTGCACCTTGTATCAGAAATCTCTATACCCATCAAGCAACTGCCATCCTGGCAGGCCATGATGAACTCCTCAGTTTCTGACTTCAACCCAGTCGACCTGAAGAAACCGAAGGTTAGGCGCTTTGATAACATGGAGTCTTCAATATTGTTGAAGAAGACTCCATGCATTGGCTTATTCTTGTGTTGCCGCAGGAGTGAAGTGATCTCTGCGGCTTTTATATGGCCCATCTGCTGAACGGGTTCCAACTCCGTGACAAAGTTGTGATCACCTCGAAAACTATACCAAGTTCATCAGCTGCTGGGGCAGCTACCCTAAAGAGAAATGCTCCAATTCCAGCTCACTCATAGTCACGGACCATGCAGAGAATGGGATACGAACTCCTGACGACTTTACAAGGTTCCATTCAATACCATTCTGTCATGTAGACACTCCGAACTCAAAAGTCCACAGCTTTTTGTTAGAGAAAGTACAAAGTGCAATGGACGATTTGGGATGCAAACCCCTATGCGGGTGCATCTTTACGTCAATTTGATACAGCCGAGTCCACTTCACTACTCCAAACAAGTAGGGTAAGATTGAAACGGCAAGCATATTCATTGCAGCAACGTTTTCCGCATCGTTTTCTCTTGAGATGGACCGTGGCACATATGTCTGTCCCAAATTCCATACCGACAGCATGTGTTTCCTTTCTCACCACCCTCAGGGAATGAGGGGTATATTTTGTTACAGAAGCATAAAGGTCAAAATCCTCCTTATGAAACAATCCGGTTTCCAGGGTTGCCATAGTAATATCTTCGAGTATTTCTGAGCGCAACGAAAAATGGCAATAGATACAGAAGAGAAGGGGACTGAGGGAATTGCCCTGAAATACACCCCTTCTGAAAGTGACCACTCTGTTTGGACTCTAGCTTGACCAGATGTTGAGCGAGTCCGCCAGAGTGGTATCAGTTATTCAAGGCATATCACTATTTTCTTGGGTATCGTAAGGCATTTGAGCAAATGCAAGATGAGCACATACGATGTTGTATCAAATGCCATTATAATTATTTTTATTTGTATCATTGTTTTTATTGACAAAATGATTGAGGCTTTCGTGGACGAGATTTCAGTATCACAGTGTCCCTGAATTGTTGTTATTATCATTGTTATATACTCAGCAGAAAACTTCACCAATTCGATTGATTCCACTGTTTAGGAAAGTCAGTATATCGCTTGATAACTCAGGAAAAGCAATAAGAGACACCAAAATCTTATCCTCACAAAATCCCCGATTCTTTTCAGAAATTATTTGAACCCGACTATCTGAACTGAAAAGTTCAATGTTTATTCATTGAGAAAGAACTACATCAAACATCTACCAAATGATGTTTCAAGTCATGTCGTGTTGTGTACTGGTTTCCCTACAAAAGCAGCCACCTTGTATTCTCCTTCGAATAGGTCTATAAAAGAACCGGAAGTGAAATATCTGGGCAATCTAGCAAAAAGCTCCACTGTTATATTCATGCAACTTTACCGAAGCTTTCGGGACACAAAGGCCTGGTATTGAGGAGATCAGAGGCTGGAGAGGCTCTTGTGGAAACGTGTCAATGTATAAACCCTCTCACACGATATTGTTCTAGTGGCTCTCTATAAATACTTTACATTATTGCGTTGTAGACTGCTATAAAAACTAAAAGGGACGACGTTCGAACAAAAGATGAAGGGCACTCGACTTCGCTGCCCTAACAATTAAAATAGCTCCATAAAAGTATATGGCGAGAGATATTGCTGAATGCGTCTTCACTTGACGGTTATGTGACGGAGGGAATTGTGAACATTATTGTTATTGCGAGGGTTCTGGGTTTCATTTGATGGAGAGACTTTGTATGTTTCATTAAATGGAGGAGAAACTGATTGATTCATAATGGAACTTTATATAAATTACCTTGAATTTGATGAATTCATATCGGGGTGGGATGATGGAAAGATTTGGTATAAAGAAATGTTTCACACTCAACTGAATAATGTCAAATATGGAAAATAATCATGAATTAATTCAAATTCATTCAAGCGAATACATGAATTGAAAGATGTTTCAACCTCAACTTCAATATTCTAAAACAAAAACACTCAGAATTCAGAATTCTTCTTATATTCCAAGTTCATAGAGAATAAAATTGATACGATCACAGAATATAGAAATATAAACAATCTCCAAATACGCCAACTTTGCACAGATTACATACTGAGCATTTTACCTTAGTACAGTGACCGGTACAGTACAGACCGGTGCAGTTGCAATATCAGCATATGAAACTTCATAAATATTGAGGAAGGTCAAGATCAAAAGGACACAGAATTAAGAAATTCATTCAGTATCTATTGATCTTCAGAAAAGGTCCAGAAATGCAGCACATCTCCTTGTCTTCGATACTGCTGGGTGGCAGTGTGATGTAAGTTTTGCTGATTTATTGTATTTTTGATTAACATACATGATGTTGTATACATCGACTTCAGTAAGGCCTTTGTTAAGATTAGTCACAAAACTTTATTAAAGTGACTTGCTGAAGTCGATATGAATGACTTTTTATTGAGATGGATATGGTCCTATTTGAATAACTGGTCACAAATGGTGGCCATAAATGGATTTACGTCACTCCCCTTCACGGCATCTTCCGGAGTTACTCAAGGCAGCCATTTGGGTCCCTTATTCTTCATTATATACATCAACGAAATCACTTGTTGCTTTATTAAGTGTAAATTTTTACTATCTGCCGATGACTTGAAAATCTATCACACAGTAAAGTATCCACATGACAGCGGAGAAATTCAGGAGGATTTGAAGCGTCTCAAAAAATTCTGTAATGATAATGATTTGTTTCTCAATTCACAAAAATGCATTTCAATCTCATTCTCCAGGAACAAAATATAATCAGAAATAATTATTACTTTGAAAATCACGAACTGAAATCAGTTTCAAAAGTTAAAAACTTGGGAATAATTATGTATTCGGAGTTGTCATTCAATTCTCATATAAAAAAACCGTCAATAAATGTGATGGCATTATTGGATTCCTTAAAATAAACTGTCAAAATTTCAGAACGGCAAAACCTCTCCTCAATTTATATTATGCATATTATAAACATAGTAGGCTCTGCTTTGCATCGGTTGTTTGGAATCCTCAGTATCACATAAACATAGATCGTATTGAGGAAGTCCAAAACAAATTTATTCGCTACATTAGTCACAAATTAAATTTTCCAATTACGAATAGCGATTACAGTCCCATTATGCGCCAATACAATATTATGACAATAAAGGATAGAAAAACTGTTACGGATCTTATCATGATTTTCAAGTTGATTAGTCCACTGTCCAGAGCTTCATTTCAAAATCGAGTTCAATGTTCAGGGTAGAACGTTGAGGCGTACAGATTTTTTTTAATTAACTTGCACAAGGACAAATGCTGCTCATAATTCACCACTTTATAGAATGCTTGAATTTGCAATGATATTCAATACTTTGAAATCCCTTTAGACTGTTTCAAACGCAGGATGAAAAAAAATTTCATTGATAAGTTGTGAACATTTCTCTAGTCTCTGTCACTCTTATAAGAATTATGTTATTTTTCGATTTTCTAATGTAATTTACAAAAAATTGAAATTTACATTCTTTTTTCTTAAAGCCCTCTTGAACTAAAATTACAAAGTGGGTTCTCTTGTTATTCTGCTTGTAACCCTTATGTTGGTAAATAAATTAATAAATATTTTAGTGTAAGTTTATTCCTGAAGTATTTTCCCTTTTCGTTATAGTAAATATTCAATTGAGTTTCTGAATCTGTTTTAAAAATCTATATTTCTGTTAGTCAGCTGTCACCCCCATACGAACGACAACTCTCAGAAGTTAAAAAACTTGTGCGAGCTAAGGACTAACGAGGTCTTACCTGTTAACGTGTGATTCCTAACACGAGTTTCTGAATGAGTTCTTTCATTATTTTGATGAATAATGAATGAGTGAAACAGCAAATAAAATCCTCTCTTTAGTAAGCCAAGCGAGTACTGAGTTGCGACAACAATAATCTTCAAGAAATCAGGATTGTGAGATTTTGAGATCAGTCAAAATGGGAAACTATTTAGGAAATCTGCAAAAATCACACAAAATACCGCAATAGAATCAATGAACTGATAAAACTCACAGAAAATGAATACCCCAGAAAAAACTTGAAGATGTGAAAAAAAAATTCTGAAATTCATGGATGTTATCAATGATTAATTGGTTGTTTCGAATGTTTTTTCCGATTTTACGTCATATCTAAATGAATATTTATTTTACTCCCATGTGTATACTGATCTACAATTTTTATGCTGATAGAATTGATATGTGTTTCGTTGGTAAATGTGTACTGATCCAAATGGCACCCATTTGAAATAGACTGATAAAAACAGACGGAACTATCGAAATGCCCTAATGATAAAAAAAATTTAATATTTTGTGGAACTGATGTTAGATGATAGATGTCCATACTAAAATTTCCATAAAATGCTGCACTCAATATTTAAGATGAGAAATGGACGATTGGATCTCTGATTGTGATTCAGCCTAACAACACTTGAACAGAATGCTTCTGTAATAAAAAAAATTATGCAACTGAGAATATGGCGAATATGAAAATAGTTGAATTGGTCAATTTTCTACAAAATTTTTGGAAACGGTTCTGATCAGCTCGAATTCACCCGCATGTTTTTTCATTTCTGGCAATTAATTTTTAGAGGAAACTCAAAATATAATGTTTTATCCAAAAATCAAGTCGTACTATCATGTGATATCCTTCATATTGGCGGTTAATAAGAATGAAAGAAAGGTAAATGCATTGATATTCAAAACTTTTGTATGAAATTAGTTTAGATAACGAGTCTTTCGAATGAAATTTTTGAGTAAAATGATGTAATAGACACTGTATTGCAAATACATGTTTTGAAATTGTTTTGGATACTTGTATGCGAAAACTGAGCATTTGATCAATCAAAACAGTATCGAACTCTTAATTACCAATTTTCTTCGGAAAGAAACTTAAAAATTTGTTGGTTTTTTCCAATGTGGTAGCATTCGAAATTTCTACTGCCATATATTTTTGTGTGTCTAGTTTTTGAAAACAGCTGTTGAAATACTGTCATTTTGAGAATACCAGTTTGGGTTTCGAATGATTTTATTTTCCTTGAATATTTCCATGGTTATAATTATCATTCGAAAATTCCTCATTTCCCCAATAGATGAATGAAGGTTTCACTATAAGTTTTATATAGAACTACTTTTTCGAAAAATAGAATGAATTATACAATATTTCTCATCAATAATCTGTTTTTAAAACATTAATTCCTTTGTCACCATTTTCTACCTGAATGTCGGTTTTGAAAGGAATAATTCGAAATAATTTTTAAGCTTTATTTGTAAATCAACGTAAAAACCAACGAAAAACATCAACAATTCCAACACCCCAATTCCTGATTCACCAGAAATATCCAAAACTGAACCTCTAGTGTTTTCCACTGGAAAAGCCATGCTCCGAATGACCATCATGACCACCCTTCTTTCCATAGTCGGAATGGTGGGAGTGGTGACTTTCATGACCTCCGTGTCCTTTGAAGCCCTTGTGGTCATCCTCGTAGTGACCTCCGTCGGAAAATCCTTTCTTACCGAAGTGATCGTCATGGTAACCACTTTTGTGGGAACCACCCTTCTTGTGGTGTCCAGCTTTGCTTCCGTGATGTCCGTGGTGGGAACCATATTTCTCGTGGTGTCCATCCT